TTAAGTACTCTCTAATTTGCCATGCGTCGTGTTTACACGTGTTCTGCTACATGTATTTCCAGGTCGTACCTCATCGTGTTCTTGCGTGATTACGTGGTACACTGTTTTTCTATCAGACATTTATAATTGGCTGCTCATAGAGTTTGTGGTGTCTCATTATTGTTGAATGAAACCCTTACCGAGATAAGCGCGTTCATTACTTGCAACGTAACTGTAATTTAAGTTTGCCCCTTTCTCGATACATCCTCATTATGCTGCTTGAATATTAGCTTCCATTTATCAATGTATGCATTAATAGTACAAAATCTAAACTCGTCTCTACTTACAAAGAGCGGGGATAGTGGGACTGGTCGCGGTTCATTCGGTTTAAAGTTTATGCGATTATTCTTTAATCTCTAATTTACTACTTCATATAGAGTTCTGGTTGTGATGATGCCTATACAGACATCGCATGCAGATGGTATTTTGCCGTCTGTTGTTTTACTGAGGCGCTAATTTAGTTAGCTTTTCATAAAGTGTATTATGTGCGTCGTGAGGGAAGGCTTGTATATATTTTCCTTTTTGTGGATGCTGCTGTCTGTGTGCACAGAATCCTCTCTAGTTGTGGAGGTCTCACTCTAGAAGTGCCTGGATATTGTTCACATCAGCTTATATTGGTTAATTTCAACTAAGAACTTCTATTAGGTTCTTTTGAGTTTGATATAATTCTAGATTTTCGGGCCATAGTTCATAGATTATTAGTGTTAATATCTGTGAATACTATTTCTGATGGAGATCTTTTCTGCAACTGTCCATGTGTGTCCTTTTCACTCTCTGATAGAGTCTGAACTGCCCAACAAGACCAAAGGTCGTCGCTAGGAGTTCCCAAATCTTGGACAGTTTCTTTATCAGTATATCAGGATTTGGTTCATAGTCGGTCGTTTTGGCACCTGAGTATTCTTTGGTATCTTGAGGAGAATATATACTCTCAAATCTGTGTTTATATTCGCAGATCCTGCATTTCTATAGCATATGGTACCAGGCTCTATGTCAGCGGTCCTGCAGGACACGAGCCTAGAATAATCCAGTGTCCGCATCCCAGTTTATACAGTGTTAGTTTAGCTCTAGGGCTTGTTGTATCGCCAATCGGAATAGGGAGGGGCAGCGCGTTCTGTCCCATTGCCTAGGAAGTTTGAACCGTTCCAGTTCTTTTCTTGAGCTTCACCGGGTTGGTGGGAGTGAAATCCTTCCTGGCCAACCCTACCTCATTGTGTTTCTCTTTTGTAATAGTGAGACCAGTTTGTATGTAGTATGCTCCGTTTTCTCTATGGTGTATCTGTTTCATTGTCCCTACCCGTTGCCTATTTGTGTATGATAAACTAGGTTATGCCAGACAACTCAGCTCATTACAACGCAGGTTGTTATGCTGAAGAGTTGTTTATGAGTCCCGCAATCAACTCCTCAGCATCTGTTCCCCGGTTCCCTTGTATTGATGAGTGGCCTGTACGTCTAAGGGCTTATTGATATGGAGACTTGGTTGTGCGACTGTAGTTTTTCATTGTTCTGTCTGTGTATAGTTGGTTGGGCTTGTACTCGCAGAGGAACAGATTTCTGGCCACAGCATGCCTTGTCGGCTCGGTGTGTGAGTCTTCGTCTCTGGTGTCGAGAGTGCGTGGATCAACGTGGACCTTCAGCGAACTACGCGCTGGGAGCACTTTCATAAGCACCTGATACAGGATCCTTACATGTCAAAAGCCTCTGACTGCATGCCTCTCAGACGAATGACTCTCCCTGCGTAGCTTGGGAGTTACAGGTTAATACCAACAATGCCCTGCTAACATAGTTCTTGTGCTTGCATTGTTACTGTCTGTATTTCTCCTCAGAGGACCAGCTTGAGAGTGTTCATGCCTGTCTGTATTTTATGGGTCGTAGCTGTTTTGAACTCATGTCCAGGCGAATTTATTCTCCACATCCTGTTCTAGCGGTACATAAGTTGCTACGATCCTTGGTTGAGTGATGTGCCAACGCCAGAATGCTCGATACTAGAAGCACCAGGGCACAGTAACGACATGGACTCCTCGCCTACCCCCGAAACAAAAGTTCCCTGGATAGGATGAACGTTCCGAGCGAGAAAATGAGTCTCCCTCTCTGGTGTATGTTGCTTGGGTCCTCATAACGATTGATGTGTAGGGTCAGGAGTCCCCAAATGAGGTGAGTAGGATGGGTCAAGGCACAAGCCTAGGAGGAATCCACAGACCTGACTGAGACTGGTTCTTGTGGTGGCTTTGTCCATCTTCATCTGCGTCATCTCCTCCTGAACATGTGCGTCATGCGTGTCCGGCTGCTTTTAGAATTGGTGCGGTCTTTGTTGGCTTTTGATGGTGTAGACTCTTCTATTGCAGACTGGGACAGGCTCAGCTCTTGAGTTAAATAGCCTGGGCTCAAACATAATTTGTCACTCCTGAATTGTCCTTAAGTCCACTCTGGGAACCTAAGATGGCGCGGATTGCCGAGGTCAGGAGTTCGAAACCAGCCTCAGCAAGAGCGAGACTCCGTCTCTTACTAAAAATAAGAGAAATTAATTGGTCAGCTAATATATATAGAAAATTAGCTGGCATGGTGGCGCATGCCTGTAGTCCAGACTACTGGGGCGAGGCAGCAGATTGCTTGAGCCAGGAGTTATCGGTTGTGTGAGCTAGGCTGACGCATGGCACTCACTCTAGCCTGGGAACATAGTAGATCTGACTCAAAAAAAATTTCGCTTAAGTACTTTTTGTCCACGTTTCCTTTTTTCTTTTCTTTTTTTGTGAGCAGAGTCTCACTCTGTTGCCCGTGTTAGAGTGCCGTGGTGTCAGCCTCACTCACAGCAACCTCAAACTCCTGGGCTCAAGCAGTCCTCCTGCCTCAGCCTCTCGAGCAGCTGGGACTACAGGCATGCACCACCATGTTTGGATAATTTTTTCTATGTATTTTCAGTTGTCCAGTTAATTTCTTTCTATATTTAGTAGAGACAGGGTCTAAGTTTTCTAACACAGAATAACACGTAGAGTTGTGGTCTTAAAGGAGTTTCTTGATCTGAAGTGTTAAGAACACTGCTGTTAACCCAGGGAGCTCCTGGTGTAAATGGTGGTGTCGGGCCCAGCAAGCAGCCAGCGCAGTGGGTGATGAGTCCCAGCAGTCCTGGGTGGCCATGCAGGGGTTCTCACCCCACCTGCCCTGTCCCCCCAGGTGTGTGCACTGCGAGTGAGCAGCCGGGCCCGCACCCGCATCCTCAAGGCCGGGGGCAAGATCCTCACCTTCGACCAGCTGGCCCTGGACTCCCCCAAGGGCCGTGGCACCGTCCTGCTTTCCGGTGAGTGATGCTCGGTGGTTCCCTTTGGGGGGGGTCACAGTGAGCTATGTGGCTGCTGGCAGCCTTTACTAGGAGGTCACACACCCCACCTCCTGGCCCGAATCATTTTCCTCCCCCTGAGGGTCAGTTGGAGGGTGGCTTCCTGCAGGAGCTGGGTGCCGGGTCCCCGTCTCATCCAGTTCTCCCTTCCCAGGTCCTCGGAAGGGCCGAGAGGTGTACCGGCATTTCGGCAAGGCCCCAGGAACCCCGCACAGCCACACCAAGTGAGTATCAGAACCCTGTCCTGCAGGTCCAGCCTGGCGGCCCTTCCAGCTGCTTCTGTTGCTCATACCAATCGGCCTTGGGCCTCCTGGAACTCCCTACTGCTCGTCTTACCCAGTTTTTCATTCAGCTCAACTTAGAGCGCTGTTGAGCTGGGACAGACAGTGTTGAAATACAGGCTCTCTGGGGCCAGTATCCTGGGAAAGCCTGGAGCCTGAATTTTACCCAGCCCCCGCAGTGCTCGGTGTTCAGGTTGGGACCCGGGGCAGGCTCTGGTCGGCCGTTCCTGGCATCCTGGCTCCCTGCACTGCAAGGCTTTTTTTTTTTTTTTTTTTTGGAGACAGAGTCTCACTTTGTTGCCCAGGCTAGAGTGATGCCGTGGCATCATCCTACTCACAGCAACCTCAAACTCCTGGGCTCAAGCAATCTTCTGCCTCAGCCTCCTGAGTAGCTGGATACAGCATGTGCCACCATGCCGGGCTAATTTTTTCTATATATATATAGTTGGCCAATTAATTTCTTTGTATTTGTAGTAGATGGGGGTCACTCTTGCTAGGCCTGGTTTCGAACTCCTGACTCGAGCATCC